TATATTCTAAATTTAACTTATGAAAACTGTTGATTTTTCCTCTTCTGCAGGAGTATCTTATTTATTGGGATATATAGTTTAAAACACCACTGAATCTTCCTCTTTTCTATAAATATCTTCTTTATTAGATTGTTTAGTTTACAAAGACTGTTGTTACTTCTTATCCAAGAGTGTCTTTATAGGAATGTATAACATACAAGTTTTTTGCTTCCCCCTCCTCTTTGAGAATATTTTTGGTGGATTGTTTATATAACTTACAAATATCACTGTTTATTCCTTCTCTCTTAGTTTGTCTTTGTTAATAGGTTGTTTATTTGGTTTACATAGACAACTGAGTGTCTCTGTTATTGATGTATATAGGTTACAAAGACTACTGCCTTTTCCTTTTCTGCAGAAGTGTCTTCTTGAATAGAACCTCTGTTTTACAAAGATTACTGCTTCAGCATTATATTTTTTATAATGTTGTGTCTTTTTTAGTTGAATTTCTAGCTCACATAGACCAATGCTTCATCCTCTTTTCTAGGAGTGTCTCTTTTATTGATATGATTTACAAAAACCCACTGCTTCTTTGTCTTCAACAGGATTATGTTCTTTAGTAGATTTTCTGCTTAATCTACATTACCACTGAATCTTCATCTTCTCCAGGAGTGTTTTCTTCATTAGTTCTACAGTTTACAAAGACCGCTTATTACTATTTTTGGCATTTAGCAGATGTTATTCTGATATCTATGCTCTTGATCATTCTCGCATCTGGTTTTCTCAGGAAATGTTATACTTGTACACTGAATGTGCTTTCTTACCTAAAACATGGGTTACCACTGTTTTTCATTTGTGTTATCTACCCTAACTGATCTTGATTCTCATTCAGAAGAATGCTTTGTATGTCCTTTCTAGGCTATTCAGTGTTATCTTGCTCTCACTGAATATTACAGATGGTCTTGGAAAATACTGTGTATACCTTACCATTAATCATACCCTTCATATTTTGTTTGAGCTACTTAATAAATTTTTTGTCCAATTGATTTGTCTTACTTACTTGGATGTTCCTGCAGATTTTAAACATGAATTTTTAGATTAAATCTCACTAAATTGACATCTCTTCAGCTTTGGGATTTTGTTTATCTTGGGTTGTGATTTTTCAAGCTTTATGAAATCCATAGTAGGTGAGTTATTCTTTGTTACCTACCTTGTTACTGCTTGGTTTAAAATGTGAATTGTGCATGATAACCCAAGTACTAATATACTATCAACACCTTTTGTTTGTACCATATGAAAGGATGTTTGGAGTTGTGGGTTCATTAAATAAATAAACAATGTATAAATAAACAAAACATGGATTAATTAAATAAATAAACTTCTATCACCTATTCAGGATGAGGAATATTGCATAAATCTTCATTTGTAAAAGTTAAAGAAAAAGTAGAATTTAATAACCCAGCCATTTTATAATCTCAAAGGCCATACTCTCATCCTAATATTTTGCTTACCCTTAATGTCTTTAAAGAAATCCGTACTGTTAGTGTTTACATTTCCAGCCAACCTTTTTTATATATACCCTGTTTAAGTCTCCTTTCGTAGCAGTAAGTTTAAATTTCTTAAACTTGGGATGTTTTTTCTTTAATTTTATCACTTTTTTTACTTGCAGTCATCTTTTTTTTTACTACAAGGAACATGTCTGTCTTAAATATGTAATAATTTGTTTTAAAAGATATTCCTCATTTGATCAGTGTCTCCAATTAATTCAGTTCCCCAATTCACATCATAAAATTCTTGTTGCATACCTTCTTTTTTTAAAGTTATAACCAAAATTTCATTATTCCTGATCTCCATATACAGTAAAGCATCAAACCCAGTAAATCAATGATCACTTGCAACCAGATGTTTCCCAATCTACACCCTCTCAACCAATATTAGAAGTTAACAATAAATCTGAAATAGCTTTGTTCCTAGTAGGTTCTCTGACCATCTGATGAAGAAAACCATTTTGAATGGTTTCTAAAAACTTGTCTCCCTCATAGTTTGATGCTTAAGATTTCCCAATTTATATGCCTAAAATTAAAATCCCTTAGAACTATGACCTCATTAACAGTTGAAATCTTATCTCACTATAACATTTCTCATTAATTTCATCAGCTTCATCTGATGGTCAGTAATAAATTCCAGCTAAAACCATCTCTCTGTAAGTTTGCTAGCAGAAACTTAAATAGATTCAATCTCCTTGCTAATATCTTTGATAACCTCAACTTCAACTGACTGTAATTCACACGTAAAGCTACTTTTCCTCATCTTTTTAATACTTTTTGATTATCTAAATAACCTATAACCATATATTTCAAAGAAATTTCTATTATAAAAATTATCCATGTTAACAAACTTTAAGGTATTCCTATTATATCAAAATCATGTGTTTGGACTAGTTCTTTAAGGTCATCTGTTTTATTTCTTAAATGTTTAGCATTAAAATAGAAATAGTTTAGCTTACCCTTAGAACTACTTTTATACTTTATTCCTGCATTACAGTTTTCTATACAACTTTTTTTTTGTACATTTTAGTTTATTATGTGATTGCTTTTTTCTTTAGATTCATTTATGAACCCCAATAAGTACATTCTTCTGAACTACCCTACATCATTATTCCCTGTGTGCACAACAAAGACTGCATCGCTGTTAGCACTCTTTACTATATCATTTAACTTATTTGATGCTTCCATTGCGCTTTCCTACAATTATCCCATTCTAAGGTCTTTCTGATTGGACCAGTTTTGTGACATGGCTAGCCTTGTCAGATGTGAACGTGAAATGCCTTAGCTCCAAGAGCATATATATAGTCATTAACTATTACTGCCTATTCCTCCGAGTATTTTCCACTGCAGGTACATGACAACATGAACTATTTTATCAGTTATGCAACCACTTGTGAACTACATCTGAGAGTATGACTGACCTATAGGTAAAGACATCACTTGAATCCCCATTTTTATATATTTAAAGGGATGTTAATACCTTGATGAGAAAAATGAATTTTCTTAGTGTTCTTAATTGGTCCTGTCTTTTATGAGGCTGGTTTTCTTCACTCCACTTATTGTTCCTTGAATCCATTCCATTGAATTTGTTTTGATTCTCTTCACCTCAGCTTGATCACAATTTCCATCTAAGAATCATTTTGATGACCCAGCAGTACTTATGAGTCTCCAGTTCTCTTCTCCATCTCAACATGAGCATTCTGACCTTTAGTATTTCCTAGGTATGTCTGTTTTGAATCTTACATTTTTAGAATTAAATTGAAATTCAAATGTGTACATATATCTGAAATTCATTCCCATCCACCTCCCCCACAACTGTGAGATATATGGTTTCCATCATGATTAAAACTATGAAATCTGGACTATATATGCTTTCCTTATGTAAACGCAATGAGTCGTGTGGATGTGGGAAAGTAAAAAAACAATGAGTAGGTCTATGAACACCCTGCATTGCATTAAGGATGTTCAAAATTTTAGTCATATTCCTTTTTGATACCACAAAAGCACTTCAATGAGAAAAAGAGTTCTGTATTTCGGAGGTAATTACCCATTTGAAATTCATTTTAATTCTAAAAATATAAAATTTACCAAGACTCCTGCTTCCTTCTTTTCTCCAAGAATGTCTTTTTTTAGTAGAATGTCTTTTTCCTCTTGTTTAAAAGTGATGTGTTGTCTACTTAGTTTACAAAGCAAAGACCACTGTTTTTCCACTTCTCTAGGAGTGTCTTTTTTAGCAGAATGTTTGTTTCATTTAAAAAGACCACTGCTTTATCCACTTCTACAAAGCATTTTCTTTAACCTAATGTCTATTAGGTTATGAGAACTACTGCTTCTTCTTTAGGAATGTCTTCCGCAAAAGAATCTCTGTTTTTGTTCATTGTTTTATCTAATGCTGTTATCATTTTATGTGTTTTTTAAGTCAACAGATGAAGTAGTTTGGGATTTATTTTATTACTTGTTTCATTACAACAACACTTAACACTGATAGAAAATCTATTATGATAAGTTTTTAACATTTATGTAATGGAGTAATAGGGTAAAAATTAAAACAAATAATGAATATTAGAAATCATTTGAAAGCTTTTCTTTAGTGGTTCAGTGTAAAGATTGTGATTATTTTTACACATAGAAAGATTAAAACAGCTATCTTTTAGAATAAAGGGAATGTTTAACTCCCCTTTCATGTATTTAAATGTAAGAGAAAATTCAATAAAACTTTGTAAACTTAGTATCAGTATAACATTGTGATATTTCTCCAAATATAGTGAGTGTGTAGTTCAGAAATGCTGCTCACATCTCCACATAGTTATATGTAGGGGTAGGAGCTTCATTCAAAGGCTTAGGTATTAGCTATCTGTTCTGTAGAGAGGTGAGTGAGTATCTATCAGAAACACATTTTTAGGTGAGGAAAGCATTAGTTATCATATCATATAGTTTTTGTACCAGATAGTTTTAGGGAAAACCCTAGATTGCACTGTTTTTATTGACACCAAATTTTTGTTTTAATAAAATATTTGTAATATATATATATATTGCTAAATAAGATCAATGCATTGGAATAAATGTGGAATCTGCTCCATTTATGAGATTGAAAGGAATGGATATGACTTGATTATAGTCACAAGTTCTGTGTTAGTGCTCATACCACACCAGCTACAAAGAAATGTTATAAATTTATGTTCCTGATTGAAGATCTCATTTTGATGCTATGTCATCTAGCTTTTAATAAACCAGTTGTGCAATATATAATGTTTTTATTGTAACATAGCTTAAATTTTTATATCAATTTTGCTATTTGTGTTCAAGGAAATTTATCAGAATTTATTTAAAGTCCAGCTTTTGACATCAATAAAACATTAAAATATTTTTAAAGATTAAATATATATATGTAACTTTCAGGAATGTGCTATTTTAGAACTTTTTAAGCTACAGTGGAATTAGTTGTTGTTTTTAAGTTAATCATCTTCTCTTTTGAAGGCATCATAACACGTCACACAGATTATTTTAAGAAAATCCGAGACACCAAAGTTGATAGATATGTCATAGAAACCAACAAGTTGCTTATTAGACTTGATAAACTCATCACAGATGCTCCAGTGGATCCTGAGAAAAGAAAAGGTGAGAATTGATTATAAAGCATCTTTTTAATTTGCAGAGTAGTTTTCTTGGATGACACGTATATTTTAGACACCTTGACATATTTATTCTGAAAATTAAAACAAAAAGGCACTGAAATCAGTCTATAATCAGTGATTAATTAATTCACCATAATTTGCAAAAGGTAATCATCTTTATTTGTTCAGGCCTTTAATAAGTATTGAATTTCAATATGACTGTTTCTTTTTTTAGACTTTTTTTAAAATTTATGATGAAAAAATTATGTGAAAAATTTGTGATTTGTTTATATATAATATCATTTTAGTATCTCCATGAGTTTTATTTTATTATTTGATGAAATAACATTTTCTTGATTTGTGAATTAATTTACTCCACCTTTTTGAAACATTTTTTTTTCTGTAAACTGTTTGTTACTTTTGTTCTGTAAGAAGTAATTGAAAGATTATTTTTACACTTGCTAGTTGTTTTACATTAATAAACATTGTTATTTTGGTAGCATGTTATTGCATACTTTTAGAAACTTGTCCATAGAATAATGAGTTTTTGATATAATTCTTAACCAGTTCATGAGAAGAACATAGTTCCATGGATAGCTGATAATGATGTGAAACTCTGCCCTAGCTGTGCTCGAACTTTCAACCTGTCACGACGCCGTCACCACTGTCGCCTTTGTGGAGGAATAATGTGTCACAACTGTTCAGAGTTTCTGGACTTTCATTATGCAAGTAATGTCATGTTTAGAATATTATCACTGTAGTTTCTTGTATCATGAGTAGTTTTAAAGATTTAAAACATAAATAGAATTTTATGTTGCACACGTACTTATCACAGTTTGTATGAGTTCTTCCTAGTATATATACATTGATGGTTGTTAGGATGCTAAATAAAGATTTATTTGGATCTATGGGAATTGCTAAATATTCTATAAAATTTTAAATTATCATGGTGTAACTGCAGTGATCTATTGTTCTTTTAAAGTAAGAAGTACAGCTCTTGCTGACGTTGTTGTAGCTGTCTATAAATATTTGTTCTGATTAATATTAATGTGAGTATATACAAATGATAAATTTTTTTACATTAATGTGGGTCTTCTGTTGGCTCAGCAGTAAGCTTGAGGGCTTATGATGGTCGAATTTGGAATTTGATGCCCATGTCATGTACAGCAAAGAATATTAAAATCTTGTACTAAAATAGTAAGGCAAAAATCAAAATGGTGCTTCTGTGAGAATAAAGTTGAATTACAAGTGAAAGTATTAAAAAATGTTTTATTTAAGAATACATATAACCATACATTAGTACTGTATATATTTTTTCTTGTATTATACCTGTTGGTGGACCATTCTCTGTCATTCTACTTTATAGGAAAGTTGCTACACCCTGGTGTGACTCTTGATGTAACTACTCAGGAAGTTCGGCCTACACTGCAGAGACGAGGGAGTAGCAGCAGTTTACTTTCTATAGTGAGCACAGCAGGAGAACCTCACATCCGAGTTTGTCAAAACTGTAAAGTTTCCCTTGATCGAAGAGACCAATTTATGGAGCAGAAAAATAGTAAACCTATTATTGTTCAGATGTATGAGGTAAGTTTATAATTTGTCTACCTTTCTTATTTTAGTAACCAAACAAGCCAGTCCATTATCATTACTCCATTTATGTTTACTTTATAATTTGTCTATTTATTTTAGTATAGCTGAACCAGTTAGTGCATTGTCATTAATTCTTTCATGCTTACTTTATAATTTTTCTATTTATTTTAGTATAGCCGAACCAGCCAGTCCATTATCATTAATTCTTTCATGTTTGGTTTATAACTTTATTTGATTAACAAAACTAGCCAGTCCATGGTCATTTCTAGCCTATTCACGTGTATAATATGATTACTTGTGGTGTTATTTGTCCCTTTGATTCAATATACATTTATCTTAGCATTTCTTCACAATTTACATTAAGCTGTATATGTTGTACCTTATTTCTTATCTTCAAAACATATTTAAGTTTATGTCCATTTCTTAATCAGCTGCTTATTCACACCTGTATAATATTTTCTTCTATGACCATATATTATTTGTTTTACATATGCAGACTCCATATACTTTATCAAATAAATTACTTCATGTTTTCTATTATACTATAAAGGATAAATATTACTTCAAATAGAATACCACTTTTCATGGAAGATGACTTTATGTATTCTATTACATTGTATAGGATAATTATTACTTTAGTTAGAATATTACTTTATATGGAAGATTATGTATTCTATTACTTTGTAGATGATAACTATTATTTCTGTTAGAATATTACTTTTTGTGGAAGATTATGTATTCTACTACATTGTAGGGATAACTTACTTCAGTTAGAATATTACTTGCTTCTGGTATGGTACATTACCTCCGCTCACATAAATAGCTATTCTTGTTCATTGCTGCCCTCTATATGCAATGAAAATTTTTATGTATGCCACAAGTCTATCCCGTCTCCATTGGAATTGGCTGATTCCAATGTGTCTCTCATGCAAATCATCATGTGTCAACCCTCCACCAGTAAGAGTGCGACATACTCTCATGATGCATGTGTTTTCCCTCCATACAATTCTACCAAACTATCACTTCTCATTTGGGAGTAGTCATGTTCAGGTGTTTTTCTTGTGGTGCTCTTCGTGTGAATCGTGATTTTAATAGTTTAATTGCCAAAGTGGGATTTTTTTTATTATTATTTTTTTCTCACTTTTGCTTATTTTACATCAAACACTTTTGTTTGACTTATGTATTTTAACAATGAATTCTGAGGTTCTTGTTCCCACTTTGGGTGTTATATCTCTAGCGTTATTTTCACAGGCTGCAGGTGGGGGAGACCTGTCATTGGATTTCTCTTCTGTTATTCATCATGAGATTGATTGTAATGTGGTTAAACCACAAATCCCCCTGAACAAGCTGAACCTGGTCAAGCCAATGAAGATTTGATAGTCTTTTTACAGCACCAGATTTTGTCGTGTTTTCTCTACCCCCTCATGCAGAATCAGGTAGGCCTAATATGGCATTTTTCTAAATGATTTCTCAGGTATATTATGTTTTAGTCCAATTTCCTGTTTTTACCTCCATGTTGGCTCGTTTGTCGTCTTCGTCTCTCACTTTACACAAGTGGTTTCACTGTAGTTGGTGTTTTCTGGGTCATGATGTGACATTGTCCCAGGTACTTTTGCTGCCTCATTCTTTTTAGGATTTCTGTATTTTTCTTTGTTTTCCCCTCCTTTTGTTTGATTTATGTATTTCTACAATGAATTCTGAGGTTCTTGTTCCCACTTTGGGTGTTATATCTCTATCCTTGGGAATTACACTTTCTGTGGAGGATAATACTCAAACTTCCTCACATTATTGGGACCTTAAAGCACAGGTATATTCCATTCTGTCTCTTGCCCCTTTGTCATATGACTCTTCCCATTCTTTCCTCCACATTCCTCACCCAAATGAATTTTACATTTTCCCCTCTTCCTCCTGATATTGATGTCCACACTAATTCCTTTTTAGACCAACTGCATTTCCATGACCATATTCCTCATCCTCCTCGTCTTTCTGATTTCTTTTATCCTAGATTACGGTCATTTTAACTTCACCTTTCTTGATTCTCAAAATTTAGAATCTCTCTTGCCTACTTAAGGAGCAGACCCTTTTGGGTCAGTTCCACTCTCCAGTGCCCATTTCTTTTGTTTTTTGCTTGATCCTTCTTTCTTTGCTTCATTACCTTTCCTCTGTACACCATATGTCAAAGGCATTTCACCATGTCCTCGATGAATTTATGGATGATTCTCATTCCTTTCTCTTTTCTACCAGGACCTGTTCCAATTCTTCATTTTCCCTGCCCACTTGGCTCTTTTGTTGTTGGGACTTGTTGGCTAAGGATATCTTCCTTTTCAGGGTTCAACTTCCATCTTCCTTCCTAAGAGACCTCTGCCTTTGCCCCATTTCTTCATCCTGAAGTTTTTGTTGGCATTTATGATTGAATTGAATCACAGGTGGAAGCTGCTCACCATCAATCTTCACTTACATCCTTGTTTATTAAACTGTCCCAAACCCACCATTGCACTCCTGTACCTTCTCCAAGTCCCTCTGTTTCTCGTCCTTTTCTCCCCACTTCCTGACTGATGTCAGTCTCGCCAGTGACTACCAAGAATATTTGAATATTCTAAATCTCTTCAAACAGATGGGTTACTCTAGTACTTAAAATGGACTCTCCCTCCAATTTTCTTCCTCTCCCTCTCTCTCTCTCTGCCCTAATCTTATTCACTTTCCTTCTTCAGTTCCCAACTATCTTCAGCATCTGGAAAAAGTAGTGTCAAATTTGTTACATAAACAGGCCAAAGAGAAGGTATATGACTCTCCTCTGGGGTTTTACTTATGCTTCTTCATGCCCCCCCAAAAAGACCAGGGACTGACGTCTGATCTTCAACCTTTCCTCCCTCAATTGCCTCATGGTCATTCCTCATTTTCTCATGGAAAATTTATTTCCTCTCTGTTGGTCTTTTTCACCTGGACTATGGATGATCAAGGGCAACATCTTGAATCTGTTCCTTCATATCTCTATCACAGAATCCTCAAGATGTTTCCTTCACTTCTTTCATTGGAATTATACCTTCCAGTTTCGAACTCTTCCATTCGGTATTGCATTGCCCCCTATGTCTTCAACCATGTGGTTATGAACTTTGCTTGCCATTTGCATGGTCTGGATCTGCAATTCTATTACTACATGAATGACTGGCTTCTTCTGTCCCACTCACAAGAAGTCTTCCCTTCATACCTACCTTCTTCTGAGGGAAGCAGCCCATCTGGGGTTGCTTGTCAAAAACTTCCAAATCCTTTCTCACCACTATCCAATATATTGTTTTCCTGGGAGTTTTTCAGTTCCTTTCTCAGACATGCCCAAAATTCTCCTATCCACCTGTGAGCTCTGGAACTTTCAGTCACCAGGATGTGAGCCTCTTCTACTCATACTGCACGTCACTGTTCCATCAAGGGATCTCGTCCCTCCACCTTCACATTTGGGATTTATCCAGTCCATTGCCCATAGAGACAAACTTTCCTTTCTTATTATTTTTGTCTTTCTATCTTATCCATCTACCAGCATAAGTGGTGTGTCTTTCATTGTTTGACCATTTGTTGCGACCTTCCTCCTGACAGTACTACTGTTGACCATCTCTTCCATTTTTACCTGACTATTCGACAGTGGATTAGCTGTCTTCACTGTTGCCAGTTATCACTCGACCTTTTCAACAACATTTTGCCTTTTGTGATGCTGCAAGGTGTTTTCCTCTTCAGTTCTCTCCATCTTATTCTTGTTTTCTTTATCCATAGATCTCCCTACTCTATTCCTATGCCTGATTGGGACTTCAGTATTTTTCAGCATTCTCTTACCTGTGGTCACCATCGTTCAGATCTTTATGCTATCAACTCTTCCTGTACCCTTTTCCATCATTCTTATATTCTTCTTTATCCTGACTGGTCTTTCCTCCCTAAGACTTCAGCTGCTTGGAAAGGCGACCATTTTACACATCTATAATCGATCAGATCCAGACAGGCTTTTATGGCCTGTTTGTGCTATTCCTTGCTCATGCTTCTCTCACTTTTGTGGCTCCTGTCTTTGACTCTTTATTACATGGGATTCCTCTTCCTTCAGGGATATATCTCCTTCTTCCCTTACAGGCTGGGTTCATCAACTTCTATGTTTGGTCTACTCATTGGGGGTTGATGCTCATGACTGTTCCACATTTCGTCCCACCAGATTTGTCACCTCAATCATTCTCTTGATGCTAGTTTCTGGTGGTCACTGGATGAAATCCTTCAGGTGAGCATGTAGACTACATTACACACATTTGGTGCCCACTATTTTTACCATCTGGCTTTCTCCTCTCCTGTAGGTTACAACCTGCCTCTGGTTGCCATCCTACAGTCTACTCACCAGCTTTAGACAGGTAAGTACAGGTCATTTTTCTTATTACAGCATTTGCTTACAGAATCTCTCCAAGTGGCTGGTGGTGCCTCCCATGGTATACTTATTTCCCAAAATTCCACATTGAGCCAGGATAATGAAAAGCACTCATACCATCTGCTCTGGCTTCATATATGCCCATTGTTGAGATGGGGTGTTCTGCAAGACCACTTGCAGTATACTTGCGGTATGTTTATGTATTTGACTATTGTTTGATCCAGACCATATATATTCCATGGACTATCATGGAAAAAGCCAGAACCTTTTCTTTCTTCCCTGGCTCATGCATGCTGCCTTTTTAAAATAGAGATATGTGGTTACCCCTTTGTACTGCCTCCAGTAAAAGACCTTACCAACTGAAACAGGACTAACGAGGATTAAGGCCTTTTTTTCCAGGTCTTCCCACTGTGAATTTCTCCCATCTTTTCTTTTTGAGTGCAATATGGAAGACCTTTGCCACTTACCAGTTCCTAGCCACTGTGGTGGTGGATCATGAAACTCCTCACTGATTGGGACCTAATTAATGAGGGCTAGAACAAGGGTGCCAATCAGTGGGAAGTGGGGTGGTAGTGACACCTTTCATATAACTATACTTATAACACACCACATGTGGCCTCCTCCCACAGTCTGCATCTGTACAGTAGAGTTGAGGTGAGCATTTTACAAGACTTTTCCCTCCTCCTGCAGCTTGTGATTCTTCAATAGAGGTGAAGCAAGCACATTACAGGATCAGTACCCTCCTCCTGCAGTTTGCAACTGTCAAGTACAGTGAAGGTGACCATGAACCACTATATTGTGTCTTCCTCTTGTGGTTGTGTCTGTTTAGTAGAGTTGAGGTGAGACTAATAAACTGTGCCCACCTCCTGATTCTGATGTTTGTTCAGTGGAGTTGAGGTGAGCACATTATACATATGCCCTACTCCTGCAGCCATCTCCTGTTCAGTTGAGTTGAGGCATGCACACATTCCATTCCATACTCTATGGCATGAATTCTGTGCCCTCCTCCTGCAGTAGGTGTCTGTCTGATAGTCTGACAGTAGAGTTTACTTGGACGGTCATGTTCTTATTCTGCCAATACCTGTGACACATGGGGCTCATTTTACTCCTCCTCCTCCCTGGAAGAGATGAGATATGGTTTTTCATGGGTGTGCCCCTATGGAGCCTCTTCCATAGGGTATCACACTTCATGTGGTTCCTTTGTGTGCTTTCTGAAGGAAATTCCTCTAAGTAAATCTTTGCACTGGCTCCTTCACCACTTCAGTGTGGGATTCTAGCTTAATTGTGTGCAATATTGTCTTGGAAGTTAACATTTTCCTTACCTGAAAATATATTTTTGATAGATACTCACCTCTTCATACACATTCCCACCCTTCTTTCTCATTTCCAGTGTGCATTAGTATTCCTTGCCTTGTCAAAGAATGAAGATTCGTGAATGCAAAAGCATAGAGGGAGCTAGGGTACAAGGAGATGTCATCATTCTATTGGTGGAGGGCTTTTTCTGCATAATAAAATTATTATTCTGTAGTACATTTCATAAGAAAATCTCATGAGATTAGGTGGGAGTTGCCTAAAGGCCATGCAAATCTCTAAGACAGATACTTGGGGAAGATAGCTTAATTGTGTGTGAGGAGGTGAGTATCGATTGGAAATACATTTTCAGGTAAGGACAATGAAAACTTTTGGCAATTTGAAGCATCTTTAGCTGTAATTGTTTTGTTACTAAGTGAAGATAAAGATTGGAATTCCTTGTTAGTTTGAACAGTTGTAAGGCAGTTTATGCCCTTTTGCAGAGAATGCGAGAACACATGGCAGAAGTCGTGGGACTGTTACCTTTATACTTTAAAATGGCTGATGCATTAAGGTAAGTGATTTTGGTAGACAGACAGTTTCTTATTTGATGACTGATTGTAACTGATAAATGTTTAGAATTTTTTGCAGTGCAGTTCATCTTAGTTTGATGCAATGTTTCTCATAGTTTTCTCCAACTCTGTTTTCACCAACCTTTAGATCTCTGATTATATCTAAAATTACTATTTTGTTTGAATGGTTAGCATAATCCTTTAATGCATGCCCTAAATCATCTATAATGTTTTTTTTTCTTTTTTAATAATATACTGTCTATGGTGGATAAAACTAGCACTTCCTACACTGATCAGCTAAGTTAGACTGTACCTGTTTTCAACTACTATTTTGTGGTACACAACATTATTTTAACTCATTTCTGCTCATCTTTCCCATCTAGTCAGTCTGTCATGTGTTTTTGACAGATTGAAATACAGTGAACTTGGTCCTGAGCAAGATTTAAAAATCAATGCAGGTATGACTATTGAGTTTCAGATCTGTTTATCAGAAGCTCAACCAGTGTTTCACTTCATGATTTAATGTTCTAGAGTATGTAAAGTTCTGAAATAATTGTACAGACATATTTCAGTACATAACTTAAGCAGTAAGCTATACGCTGAAATTAATGTCAACTTTGATTAAAGCAAGCTACCTATGTAGAACAGGATTGAAAGTTAATTCAGTAATGAATAGCTAATGTAATACACTATTCTTACATTTATACTTATAATGATTATAATGCATTGTTTAACCAGTTTAGTAACCTTGGTGTTGGTGATATTTTCAACTATAATCCAATAATATCTCGTGTAGCTCAGTGATGTTAGGAAATTTAAGTTAGTTCTAAATCGATATGCTAATCTAACAAGCAAAACAATCCTCATAATAAAAATATATAATATAAACACAAATTCACAAAAGAAATGTATATATATATAACATTAAGGAAATAATATAGCATAACTTACAGAACACATAAACAACACTAGTGTTTGCTTCATGCATTATTTCAACTTTGATATTCCTTAAGGAACTTGACATCAATATATCCATAACTTACACAAACCTCCCTAACAATGTCCTGTCACCAATGAAAGTCCATTAAACAGCTCTTACTCTGACAGTGTAATTTTAGATACCTTAACACCTGAGATAAATTACAAGTCATCTTACTATTTAACTGAAGAGTCAGTTAGCAAAAAACTAATGTTTATGAAGATGCAAAATAATAAATAAGTTAAATGAATAACAGTGAACAGATTTGTTTAATAAAAGGTAAAAATGTTGATATTTTAATTGGAATGCTGTATAATCTGTGAAATAAAAAGAAAAATAATATACTAAACATAACATGAGGTGTGGCTAATCTGACTTTTAACTAATGAACAAGCAAGCTCATTTACACTGAGACTGTTTTAATAATTAGTCTTAGTTAGGACCTTAATAATATACATGTAGTACTTTTCCACACCATCTGAAGCATGCTTCAATACGCTGAATCTCTTCTCTTCAGTGTCCTTCAGTTTGCATGCTTTTTCAAAACGTGTCTTCAGCCATTTCATGATGAATCTGATGTAGTCTTGTTTACAAAAAGAAGTAAATTGGTAAACTATTTTATAGCTTCATTTGTGTTATTCTACTCTAGATTAAAATGCATCTTAATTGTATGTGCAGGTAAATTTTATGAAGAAGAATATATAATTGTTTTTGAACATACAAAGCATGTTTACAAATATAAAATAAAACTGTAGATACTGAATATTTGTCAGATTCGTACATTAGTGATTTTATGAAGTTTTGGTTGTTAGTACTGTAATACATATTATGGATTGATGAAAGTAAACTTTCCAGTAATCATTGTTTTAAATGAAAAAGCTGATAAGTGAAAAGAAACTCCAGGATCTTTGGCTAGAGCACTGTTTGTTAGCCACAAGTCTTAGGTTCAAGCCACAGGCCTGGAGTTTCTTTTCACTTCTCTGCTTTTTTTACTTATAATAATTTTATTAGAATTGTCCTGCATAATTTTATCAACTAGTTCAAACTGGTAATTTTGTTTTAGTACCCCAGAGAGTACCATCTGGCAATACTGCCTTTTTACTCCAAATTCTACAACTAAAGCACAGTGAGGTAGTGTTTTATTGGGTTGGGCTGTTAAAATGAAATTATAAATGTAAATAAAAAACTAAACTCATCTTTAAAGGTTAAATTTTAATAATTGAAAATTTTAGTATGAAAATCTAATTAATACTATTGATATCCATTTGTGAATCATGTAAAACTTTAAATTAGAAGATTTAGAATTTAATGGTTTATTTGAACCTTAAAGATTTAGAAGATTTTTATCACCTTGTATAACTTTATATTATGTGGTTATTAAAGTTTTTATGTTAAATTTATTGTTATTTGAAATTTGCAAAGAATGACTCCATTGCTAATACTACTATAGTTATTGTGGTAAATCTACATTATTTGTGTTCAGGAAGGAAATCAAACTATATCTAAAAACAAGTTACATATTAGTTTTCTAAATGCATGTGAATAACTTAATGTATTATCCAAGTGTTTGAAATTATAAGTTCCCATAACTCAAGTCTGCCAATTTAGACAATATCATAAATTTCAAAAACAATTAATAAAGACAGAATAATGTTTTTTTTAATCTTTAATCGTCAATGTTCAGAGTCTTTTGATCTACTGAAGCAACAGTTCATGAATTTATCTTTTCAGTGTTTTCTAACTTTTATAAACAAAATAATTTTCTGGTACAGAGTAGGAAAAACAATTGATTAATGTGAAGAATTTAAGAAGATATCTTGTTAAAGATGCATTCACAGAATGATCGGATACTGTAATTTTTAATTATTCAAGTTACTTGTTAAGTGACATTTAAAAGGAAGTTCTAGCTCATGGTTTGGAATTTAGTATACCTAATAGTTTTAAATTATCTTTTAAATCTTGAGCAATCCTATCTCATCAGAATTTTGGAATCTTTAAGTAATTCTAGAACTCAAGTAAGCGGAACTGCTTTGATTTATTTTGATGACGGATTTAGAATATCAGCTTCTAAGTGCAAGTAAAAATTAAACATTAACTTTGAAAAATCTCAGCAAAAATAATAATGTTATAACCAAATCTGAGAAAGGAAACAACTTATTGTTTTCAAAATAGTGGACTATTTAAGTAAATAATGTTTTGATATCTTAATAAAAATAATATTGTTATAACCCAATTTGATAAAGGAAACTGTTTTGTTGTTTTCTATAAAGTGGAGCTTATAAATGCAAGTAAAAATTACACATTGGCACTGAAAAATTTCAGCAAAAATAATAATGTTATAACTAAGTCTGATAAAGGAAATAGTTTTTATTGTATTCAACATAGTGGACTGTTTGATAAAGTAGATAATATTCTGCATAACTCAATACTAGAGAAGCAAAATTGCAGAGATATTTATTAACTCAGACACAATATTCAGAAATTAGACCATCACAAGTTCATCCAAGATTTTTTTATGGGCTCCCTAAAGTAGACAAGGAAGAATGTTCATAAAAACCTATAGGAATAAATGTTGGAAGAACTTGCAATTGTGAGTTATGAGGTTATTGAGTTAATTTTATGATGGATTATACTAAAAATGAAAATACTTTAAAGGATCCTTTGAATTTTCTAATGAAATTCAAGATTGTGCTAGTTTGGAAGAAACAATACAATTAAATAGTAAATTAATTCGATTTAAGTGTGTTGGATTAACTTGTAATAACTTAAATGAATTAAATGTCTCGCTATCACTGTTTTTGAACTTAATGAATTTTAACATCAAAGAATCAAATGGTTTGCTAAATGACAATCTTTATAGTAATTTGACAAACAATGATCTATAAGCCTAAGGAAAATTATTTTATATAGAGAACATACTTCATGTTTCAACAGAACATTGGTCTTTCTGCTTCAGGTATGATACACAGCTAAGTGTAGAGCTTATATACAAAATCACCATGTACAAAGATAAACTGAACTTAACTACTTAAAGAATGTAGCATTTTATAGAGGTTTCAATCCTAACATCATAAATATGTCTTTTATTAAACTTCAAGGCTATAAAAAAATCTTTATTGTAATTCCAGTCTTTTCCTTAATCAATAACGAAAACATAAATTTGTTTCTTTTCATTTTATTTCCAAAATTACTCTTAAAATTACTAGTTTATTTAATAACTCGTGTAACAACTATATTTAACCCTTGCACCATGTGCAGGCCAAAGTTCACATGTCATGACTTTTTAGAGAGTTACATTCAAATATAATTGAACTACTTTATTATCATTGTATTCAAATAAACTTGGCATACATAGCTAAGCAAATTTTAATATTATATATGTTACAAGTTCTTAATTTTATAAGTAAATATTTTTGAAAAATCCTCAATTTCCCCTAGTATGAGAATTGTGACATTTGCTATCTAGAATTATTCCTGTTCTCTAATTTATTTGCCACCACTCTAAGAAGTATGGAATTTAACATAAATTACTCATTATAACATAATGGGTATAGCATAACTTTTTATAGCATTCAATCTTATTATTCATGTAACCATAAACTAGAAAATCACACCTACCTGTCACATCCTTTCTTCCACAAATTGCCAGTAGTTCTCTCTGGCATTTTATACCATATTATTAGAGTGCCAGAGTTTTGATCTATAAAATGGTGTATCTTATTGTTTTCTGTGCAGAGAATTGTCTATTTCACCTCCACTTTAAAGTTTTTTCTCACAGTATTTGGATCAACAGGCTCAGTTGAGTTTTTAAAGGCTCTTATCATATACAGAAAATAAGAGAAAATTGTTTTTGTAGCTTTTGAACTAATATAAAGTAAAACTATATTTTTTATTCTGCGAAATTTAAATTCTTAGGAAGGGGAGTTTATTACTTCATTTTATATATGCTAAAATATTTTTACAAATATTAGTATCTAGTTTATTCTGTTATAATTGTTTCCACCACTTAGCTCCTTTTTCCTC